CATTATGATATCGGTTAACATGATATATCACTCATTATGATAACGGTTAATATGATATATCACTCATTATGATATCAGTTAATATGATATATCACTCATTATGATATCGGTTAATATGATATATCACTCATTATGATAACGGTTGATATGATATATCACTCATTATGATATCGGTTAACATGATATATCACTCATTATGATATCGGTTAACATGATATATCACTGATATCGGTTAATATGATATATCACTCATTATTATATCGGTTAATATGATACATCACTCATTTGGATATCGGTTAATTTGATATATCACTCATTATGATATCAGTTAATATGATATATCACTCATTATGGTATCGGTCAATACCTCAGCCAAAGGCTATAATTGAATAATATCACTCATTATGATATTTTTCCTATGTACCAATTTTTTCCTTCTTTAACTAAGCAAAAAATTATTATTAATTATTATGATATTTTTTTCTGCCGTGAATGGATTTTACAAGATAAAAACTCCTGTACAATTAAGCAATAGGTCCGACTAACTTTACAATGCCTGAGGTGATCACCTGTCCACTCCAGGTAAATTTTTCACACCCGTCACCTTGCTTCACCCGGCCCAGTCAGCGGAAAACAATAGATAGACCATCGCTTGCTGATCATACATTTTAGTCTTAACAAAACATGTGGTGCAGTTAATTGCTATCTAAAAAACACTGTAGGACTGTGTATCAAATTGAAATGATTAGGCCTACCGACATTTTTTAACACAAAATCTGATGAGAAAACGAGCATGCATTTTCACAAATTTTCAGAGTTACTTTGACACCTAATGTGAGAAAATTATGCCGATTGCAATGAAAATATTACTTCAGAAGGAAGACATGTGTTTTTAATCATTTAAGCAATAGTTTCTCTATTGCAATATAAGTTGATTTCCCCATGTCTCTGTTGAAAAGTGTCAAAATCGGGACAAACCGCCCCGACAGCATGGTGCCAGAAATTGATCCAAAGTTATCGTTATTGTCGTAAACAACTGACAATGGCTGCTTTATTTACAATTTACACCATTTTTGTTAAATACATTATTTGATTATTGTTAAAGGGACATCACGTGAAAAGGCGTTTTTTTTTTTAATGAATGTATGTATTGTATGCACTTCCACTTATGTTACCTCGCTATCCCCATATTCATCGTCCGTTCCAAATGTCCAGTTTGACCACTTGAATTGTTCGGGAAAGCCCTGCTAAAAATAGCGCCGATAACGTCACATGACTAGGCAGTAAACACAAGTGGTGCGAGCGAGATGAAACGGTTTCCAAAGGGGGCCCCCAGAGAGGGGCCGTTAGGCAACTGCAACTTCTTACCGCACTATGAAACCAAGTTATATGATTTTCTAAGTCCGTAATCAAACTTATTGAACTGTAATTATTCATCATTAGAAATTAATTGCACATTTGCCAATGTTCAGAATTTAAATTTATTTAGCTTTAAACATAAATTTGTTGCCAACAAAATTAAACAAGGGATGGGGCACAAGTTTTTACAATTTATCACAGCCTTCTCCCGTCATACATTTACAATTAAATGTCAACAATGATAATAGGCATAAACATAAAGTAGATATATTTAAATATATATTGAATTTAGTACCGGAATGTGGCCGGTACAGATGGTACGGGGCTAAACACCTTCCCTACACCAAGGGACAAACCTTTCTGATTTTTTTTNAAGCACAATTTTACACAAACAATTTGAGATGCTACACTAAGGTGTGGATATTTTACACTGATGAGGCGAGAGATTTAATGAACACAGAAACACTCACCGTTATCATTGTCCAAGTCTATGGACACAATTGACATGTTTGATATATGACTAGTGTGATGCATGCTGTGTTCAACAGTGTCCCCATTAGATGCAGTGGTATTGTCCTTCTCAACAAGGGATTCCTGCTCCCGTTTTTTGTCTTTCCCATGTGAGTGACCTCCGTGTGAGTGACCATGTCCACCTCCTCCGTGTGAGTGACCTATCAAACACATTAACTATCTATCATATAAAGGTATTAACATTTATTGTTACAAAAAGTACATGTAATCTAATTCAATCTATTGGGCCTGTATCTACATTGAATTCCATTAATATGTTTCATTCATACATTCTCCATTTACAATAGAGACGTCACGATTCACTGCGATGCACTTGTACCGCAATTTATTTATGTTCGATTCGTTTCAGGATATATTTTTTCGGATTTTCGATACGTCACGATCTGAGTATTAGTGTATGCTGCTTTAGCTGAAACGTCTGCGAGACATTCAATTTCATTGGCTGATCTCTAAACCCTCAACCAATCTCCAATGAGGATGCAATATTCACAAAGCATTTATAACAAAATGGCGGAGCGCGGTAATGAAAATTTGTGATGCTCTGGCAAGCCTTAAATTGAAAGTGTGGAAACACTTCACGTTTCCGTGTATCGAGGGCAAAGAAGACAATAAATCACAAACTATTTGCCGGATATGTCTGTGGTATGCAAGCCTACAAATCGGGGCAAACTACAAACATGGGCGACACATCTCAGCCGAGTTCATCGCATCGAATTGGAAGAACGTTCTTAGTTTGTTTCAATATAAAATTAAAGTGTTGGAAGCTTATCAATCTCATTTTGTTTATATTTTAAACTAAAGGTGTATTGAATCAAAATAATCAAATTGTGGTACAAATATCAAGATACGTATCGAATCGTGGGTAGGTGTATCGTGACAGCTCTTATTTACAACCACAAACTCCATTGATCCAGAGATATGCAATGGAATCTTCATCCATTTTTGAAGATTATTTAATTACACATTTCAACAAGAGGCCCAGGGGCCTTAATAGCTCACCTGGTATTTTATTTTTCAATTTAAAACCTGCTGAGTACCATTCAGGTTTATCAAAGGAGTACAAGTAACAAAGTTGCATCTTCCATTTATAAATATTCAATTCCCTTTGCCCAAAGATTCTCTAAAACAAGTTTGGTTAGGTTAAAATCCCTTCAACGGTACAGAAGGAGAAGGATCTTTAATGTTTTCCTCTATTTCCCCTAATGGGCCCCACTAATCTGCCCCAAAGAAGGGGAATCCACACACCTCAGTTTAAACAAAATTGATTCTTTTCTCCCTAAGCATGCTTCAGACTGCATTTGGTTTAAATCCCTTCACTTGTATAGTAGGAGAAAAAAAATCCTCTATTTCCCCTATTGGGCCCCGCTCCTATGCCGCCAGAAGGCCCACACCCTCCGTTTATACAAACTTGAGTCTCCTTTGTCCAAAGATGCTCTAGGACAAATTTGGTCAAAATCCTTCAATTGGTTGAGGAGAAGATTTTTAAAGATTTACCTATTTTCCCCTATTTGGCCCCGTCCCTCTGCCCCCAGGGGGACCATACCCTCCGTTCATACAAAACTGAGAACCCTTTGGCCAATGATGCTCCAGACCAAATTTGGTCAAAATCCCTTCATCGGTACAAAAGGAGAAGGATATTTGATGTTTTCCTCTATTTCCCCTAATGGGCCCCACCCATCTGCCCTTAGAAGGAGGCCCACACACCTCAGTTTATACAAAATTGATTCTTTTGTCCCTAATCATGCTTCAGACTGCATTTGGTTAAAATCCCTTCACTTGTATAGCAGGAGAAAAAAAATCCTCTATTTCCCCTATTGGGCCCCGCCCCT